TACAGAGAACGTCCCAATATTCCGCTCTGATGGCGGCTAGTAGTCCTCATTATCATCGTCAAAAATGGTGACGGTGATGGCATATCGAGCCTCATTCACGCAGTTTTCAGCTGAGGGTTTCGGATACCGAAAATTTGACCTTGTCAACGGCTTTCAATGATAATCGGCTTCTAGACTGTAGAACGTATGATCGTTCTGAAGGGCGCTACTCGTGATTTCAGGGAGATTGATCCGCGCCTAAGATACTTAGTTGCCAGTTAGTAATGTTACGTTGTTCTGATGCTTTGCTCACTCATGAACAGTATCACCCGCAAACTCATTGCTGTGAACGCAGTTTGATACTGAGAGTCTTCGTAAATCGAATTGACGCCTGGCGCCCGTCAAAATCTCTTTACGCTTCACTGAGGTTCAGGTGTTTTGACGCCAGCGCACTGCGGATACGAGTGATGTATGGACGATATCGTTCAACTTAAGCGTCAGCGTAAACTTCCCTGCTTTGAGCGGTCGTGCAGGGGCGTTCGTGGCGCTGACAGCTGCATTGAGGGGTAGTTTCGGTGACAATGAACGATTTAGGCAGGCCGGAAACGCGAGGTGGGTATTTTTCGTGGCTCATTCTTTGTGGAAGGCTGCATTACAATTTAGCAGCGTCACGTGGCCGCGCGGCGTACACACCATCATGAGCTGCCTAGGTATATACCTTCAAATCCTTCTCTTTGCCCCAACATCCACCATGCCCCGGTTATGTTCAGTACTTCCTCTATCTCTGGTCATATCACCCTCGAATCTGCGGGGCTCATCGCTCTCGCCGACCTCTCCGATGTCGCATTGAGGACGGCTCTGACAGGAACGGCCTCATACCTTGACGTCCTTGTCCTTGCACCAGGCATTCATCAGCAGCAATCCGCAGTCAAAATCAATGACGGCGAATTGCCAGGTGCCGCCTCGATGACAAATGGATACATCTTCCGAGTGGAGAATCCTGCTATCGTCCACTACCTATGGCACATTGGCCGTATTGGCCAACTCGTCACCGCTCATGTATCTCCAAAACCTCCCCGCAGGTTGAATCCATTCACGAACCGTTTCTTCAGGATCGACTTATCCCCCCACATCACCCCGGTCTTCGTCGCTGGGATTCGCGCCACGCTGTTGTACCTAACCTGCCCGATACTCACTATCGTTGTCTCCGCACTTCTGGGCGCTATCAGAGATTGGTGGGCATTTGGGGTTTTGGGAATGCTTGTGTTGACTAGGTTTATAAATGTGGTCGTTATCAAGCGGAGAAGCAAGGAGGGATGGAAAGGCAAGAAAGAGCCGGGTGTCGAGGGCGATCTCTTCATACTTCTGAGTCAGGATCGCTGGGTTCGTTTGCAAGGATTAGTGGACGATCTGAAGGCGGTGACGGCAGGCCAATGGTTGCGGGGTGAGACTGCAGAAGAGGGATTTTCCGTAGGGTTCGCTACGCTGTTGGTCTATGCGTGCGCCGCGCTTGCGGGAAACGCATCGACGGTGGGAAGCCTGCACTTTGCCTGCTTGTTGCTCTCCTCTCCTGCTCTATGCCACTTTTCTTAAATGGACGAGTTACTGTAGACAGTTCAAGAAAGTGGGCATATACTGCTATAGAAGACGTCGGCGCGCACTCATTCTGTTCCGCAAGTCAGATATCCTCATTCGGCTTTAGGTAATTCCATCGATGAAGTTCTATGCGATCCCAAACCTGTGCAGGATGGTTTAGGCCAAAATGCGCGGTGTCTCTGAAGCTGGAGAATGTCACCCTTGCCTCTCTCTCCTTTAAAGATTTCATTTCACGGCGGCTGGTCGTTATCCTTATGTGACCATCATTGCTGAGATGAGCGATTCCCATGCCCACATGTCGACCCTCATTATCGCAGATTTCCAACGAGGAGGTTTTCGACATGTAAACGTATGAACAGCAAAGTATATACTGCCATCATAACACGCAGCTTCCTGAACATGCGTTTTTCACATTTACAAGCTTCCGAACATAGGACGAATATATAGGGCGCCAGTTTCATTGATGCCGATATACGCCAGCCTGGCTTTCAATGCCACCACGACGTCCCAAAGCCTTGCCACCTCATAGGAAAAGGGATTACATGAGCACACAGCTGCTCTTCACAGAAGTCATGGCCTGTGGTCCGATTTCACACCACTCTGATAGGTTGATGCCAACCGCGGTGCAAGCATCAGACGCCCCCCTTTTCGTGGCCAAACTGATCCGCTAAAGGATGGTATTTTGACGCCAGGGGGCGCCAAACACGCACGCATTGGTGGAAGATCCTTACATCCATCGTTCTTCTAACTAACCACCAACTAAGGTTTCGGTTCGCTTTGAGCTTTCTGCCGATGGTGGTCTGTGACGATCACCAGCGGGATTGAGGATTAACATCGGGGGCAGTGAGCCATAATGAACTGGCTGGGCGTTTCGTCAGCATGAGGTCGCCATTCTTTCGCTCCCTCAATGACATGCTGTCCAGAAACAACCGCCTAATCCAGTCCTTCGTAGTCGCTGAGATTCCCGCGGCTCTGCTTTATCTCCTGTGTCCCGTATTGACTATTGCCGTGTTTGCGCTACTGGGCGCTATTCAGGACTGGTGGGCATCCGGGGTGCTATGGATGCTTGTGATAGCCAGGTCGATCAATGTGGTCGTCATCAAGCAGAGAAACGTGAAAGGATGGAAAGGTGAGGAAGAGGGAAGTGAGACGGCCGATCTCTTAATTGTTTTGAGGCCCGGATCGCTGGGTGATGGGGAGTGATCCCATCATCATCCGAGGCCCTGCTTTGATGCCCGCTCAGAAAAAAGTTAGGCGCCAATAAGGGCGACTCGGACAACGTTGCCCACTTGTCCGTGATTGTCTAGAGGATCGTAAACACTGCTTTTTGAATGGTAATGGTGGTGATAGCAACGATACATACCTGCACCGTCACCCCTTCTTCCGTCTTTGTGAATTGTTGTAATATGTGAAAAGGTACGACTTCGGCCCGAATGTGTTACCTACAGCTTCATCTACACCATCACCATGCATGTACCCTCGTTTTCTTTTCTTCCCTCTCTTCCCTTCAGATTTCACCCATGTTCAGCACATCCTCCATCTCCCGTCACCATATCACACTTGAGGCCGCCGGACTCGTCGCCCTTGCCGATCTCTCCATTGTCGCAGTGAGGACAGCGCTAACAGGAACAGCCTCCCCCCTCGATGTCCTCCTCCTCGCACCCGGCATGCACCAACAGCAATCTGCAGAAGAAGTCAATCGCGGCGAATTTCCAACGACTGGGGCGATAACCACCGGGTACGTCTTCCGCGTCGAGAACCCCGCCACTGTCAGCTATCTGCAGCGCATCGGTCGCACGGGCCACCTCGTCACCGCCAGGGTATCCATGAACCCGTCCCGCGACGCCTCTTTATCCCGGTACGACCGTCTCCTTCAATCCTTGTTCGTCACCGGCGTCCCCGCGACGCTACTGTACCTCCTCAGCCCGGTCCTGACCGTCGTCGTACTTGCATTACTCGGCGCCATACAAGATTGGTGGGGATTCTGGGTGCTTGGGATGCTGATAGCAGCCCGCGTGATCAATGTGATCATCATCAGGCGGAGGAGCAAAGACTCGAAAGAGTGGAAGGGCGCGCCGGAGGAGGGCGAGGGCGATCTGCTCATTCTCCTGAGCCAGGATCGCTGGGTGCGCTTGCGAGGGTCGTTGCATGATATCAAGACTGTGACGGCGGGTGAATGGTTGCGAGATCAAGGCACAGTCGAGAGTTTCTTTGTGGCGCTCGCTACGCTGCTGGTGTATGCGGCTGCGGCGCTGGCCGGGAACGCGTCGATGATGGGGAGCTTGCTTATCGCTTGTCTCCTGCTCTGTTCTGCCGCGCTCTTGGGCTTGTGTAATTCCTGGACCAGGTGTTTGCAGATGTATGATTGCATTGTGTGGAAGGAGGGGATATCGGAGAGGTATCAGAGGAGGTTGGATATGGTCGAGGATTTGATTCTGGCGAGCGGGAAGAGTGAGTGGGCATTTGAGATGGGGTTGAAGAGGCATGTTAAGTCAGAGGCTTCTGTTGGGTTTGACTCGGAGTCCTGCCTATCGAGTCCTAGGCATAGTATCGATGAACAGAAGTGCTAATTCGGATGCCTTTGCCCTGTATCGCTCCGGTTTTTTTTTTTGCACGGTGTAGCGCCGATGCCTCCGATGCGTGTGGGAGGTACATTGAAACATGGATATTGAAAACAGAGTTGTACAACACTGAGAGTCAGAATCGGGTGATTGCCAATTACATTAATATATATATCACTGCTTGGGTCCGCTGCTATTCTTTACCTAAAAATACATCCCAAAAATATCGCGAACTTTGATCGAGTTCCACAAAACAGGATCTAAAAAAATATGCTGACATGGTCTTAGTTTTCTTACCCATTTTTTTGCACCAAAAGGCACATGCTTTAACAAAGAAAGGGAGGTTCCCATTGTTCGGAAATATAATCAGTTTTCCATGACAAAAGAGCGTTGTTTTTCATCTTGATTTTAGGATATCCTCTTTGCTGTCGAAAGACCACCACATAGAGAAAGTCAGTCACGACATTTTCAGGTCTTTCTTTCGGAATTAAAAACATACCAGCCCCAGTTGTGTATAGAACAAACAATAGTACGATTAGAAAATGTCGGAAAATGAAGTATGAAACCTTCAAGCACTAAGAATCTCGCTCACTTCATACAACCATGCCACCAAGGCATCCCCAAAATCCGAACCTACGGGGTCGTAGCCTCGTATCTTGGCCTTGAAAGGATTATCATCCTCTACGAGGTTGAGATACTCTGCGGCGCCAGACAGATGGCAGCATGGGGGATGTCCTCTTTCGACGCCGGTAGTGAAAAGTGACTTTTGGATAGATGTGAAATCAACAGCTCGAGGCAGCACTTTGAACAAGCTCCTCCCTCGTTGTGCGGACTTTGTAGCGATTTTCAATATTCTTGGGGAATAGTTAGCCAGGAAATTGGGAGGGAGGGGGAGAAACGGACTGTGGGCTCCAACCATAGAGTGAGATCGTCAAAATGAAGATGAAGATTATATTCAAGGGTCAAGATGTTTTCCAACCGGTGGATTTTTTCGCCTCGAAGGTCCTGGAGGATGTTTGGGAATCCAAAGCGCTCGCTCGATGATAGTCCATGCATTCGCAGCGTAGTCTTCCTCGATACAAGAGTAAGTTTGACGGAATAACGGAATAGGATGAAAATATCTTGATTGGACGTTGGTAGACTCAGGGAAGATGTGGGCACACTGGGCAGTTAGTGGTATCATCCCTTCCGGTAACTGTGCTTCGAGTTCGTCCTACTCGAAGTATGACTTCTTGTCCATGGTGCCAGACAAGATACATCGATAATTATCACGAGCCAAGGCCTGAGGGAGGTTATTATATCTGGTTAACCCACATATCCCTTTGTGAGCTCAAGACCAAGGCAAAACGCACGCTTTTCTTCGCCTCTTGGGTGGTTGGATGGATAAGGGTTCTGTTGGGTTTGACTCGGGGCCCAGAATCGTTAGGTCCTGTGAACAAGAACCGTTTCTGCGGCTTGATTCCATACAGTTGTCGAAAGAATGAATTATCCTTTCGTATAACCGGCAACGAGCGCTCAGTGCCCAATATAGGCATGGTGTCTCGTTGCGTTTACACTGCAAGCATCATCGGAAACAATGACCGTAGAGCAGGCGCCCCCGCAGGGTTGAGGCGTATATTCAATACAATGACCAAATTATTGATGGTTCCTTCGCGGGTGTTTTGTCCCTTGACAAGCATAATCTTCGACGAAACTATTCAAGGTCAAATCCACCGTACAAGGTAAAGATGGAACCTGTTGCTAGATTCAACGCAGTGTGAGGCTGAGGGCTTTGGACGAGAGATCTCTTCTTTTTTTTTCCCCTCGACCGATTTTGCCCCATCCCAGTCCTACGCGCCACTACGGCGTGTGTGAAACGGTACACTCATCCATATGTATGAAGTAGTCAGACATATATTACTACAAGGGTAGACAGAAATTTTCTAGAACACTGTACATTCAGCCTCTTCAAAACCCTGCTGGAACCTAGTCGAAAACAGCAAACTCATACTTTCAAACAGTAACAGGGACGCGGGGATCTTTAGCAACGACGAGTCCCATGCCAATAGCCCAGTCATTCCTCCCGCTCTTCTCAATCATCTCGTTTGCCATGTACAGTCTCCGCTCATATCTTATCGGCTCTCCCTCGACCCGCACGATACAATCGAACATTTGCAAACACGGCGTCAAAGAATTGCTGATGTCCAAAAGTGCGGAAGAGCACAAGAGGAGCGAAGCGATCATGAGGCTCCCCACGGTCGACGCGTTGAACGCAAGGATGACGGCGGCGTAGACCAGCAGCGTGGCGAAGGAGGTGGCGAAGCCCTCTATCATGGTCTTGTCCCGCAACCACTGGCCTGCCGTCACTGTCTTGAGATCATCTACGAGCCCCTGCAGACGTATCCACCGGTCCTGGCTCAGGAGGATGAGCAGGTCACCATTCACGCCTGGCTCCGCTATGCCCTTCCACCCCTTTAACGTCCGCCGCTTGACGATCCCGACATTGATTGCCCTCGACAGCATGAACATCCCCAAGACTCCGAGGCCCCACCAATCCTGAATTGCACCCATAAGCGCTACGACCACCAACGTGAGGAGCGGCCCAAGGACGTAGAAGAGCGTCGCTGGGACGCCCGCGGCGAAGAAGGACTGGAGGCGGCGGTTGATGCGGGACAGGCTTTCGTTGCGGGATGGGTTTGGGGAGACGCGGGCGGTGACGAGGTGGCCCGTACGGCCGATGTTCTGGAGGTAGCTGACGGTGGCGGGGTTCTCGACGCGGAAGACGTACCCGGTGGTCATGGCACCCGTCGTGGGGAACTCGCCATGGTTGATGTCGTCGACGGCCTGTTGGCGGTGCATCCCGGGGGCGAGGAGGAACACATCGAGGACGGACGCTGTGCCCGTCACTGAGGTACGAATGGCGACGGTGGGGAGGTCAGCTAGGGCGAAGAGCGCCGCTGCTTGGAGGAGGATGTGGTGTGAGGATATGGATGATTTAGAGAGCATTATTGGCATTTGAGAGGGCATTGCAAAAGAAAGAGGATTTCGCATGGTTGGATGTTGGATGTTAAGACAGCGCGGAAAACACGTTGGCCGGGAGATTTATTACAGCATCAGTCGAAGCCGTACTTCCAATTATGACCTTTGGGGCTGTGTTCAACTGGGCGTCTATCTATCACACTGCTGTACTCAACTTATTTTGGATAGAATGGACGAGTTTTAGTCTTTGCATTAGTTTAATTTGTGCCACAAGACTGCTAAAACGGAAAATAGAAATCTGTTTTGCGGAGGCACTGAAGCCACGTGATCTCCAAGCGACGCAACCACGGAATTTCGGACGCTTGTCAACGTTGACCACAACGATCACGATGTCCCATCCTTTACCCGTCCTCCTCGATCTTGGTAATGCCTACCACACAACAATGGCAAGAATTGGCGGCGCGCATAGGATGGATCCTGGATTGGAGGATACTATGATGGTGCAAGACCTGGTAGCCAGTCAGGATTGCGTCTTTTCGAGTCCGGACTCAATTTAAATACGACCACTATTTCTTGCAATGAAGGACTGATGACGATGCTAGCATGCCTCCATACGACGTCTGGAACGATCTCCGTGATATTTTCCCCTCGCTGCTACTTACCCACCTATCCACCTACCTGTGACACTGGCCTCATTCTCACCAACGCCGACGATACCGACCACATAGTAGCCTTTCAAGACCAAACGCGAGCTCAAGAATCCCTTTTACTCCGTTCTGACTATCTGAAAAGGATCCATGGCGCATTTCTGGTTCCTGAACGCGCATATATGCAGTCAAATTGCCGGTTTTTGGAAATTGATGCTATGGCATCATTGCGATGAGCGTTGGAATACTCAAAGGCGGGAAGGGTACGTTCCGGGCTATTGTTTCTGTGTTCAGTGCTTCACGGCCGCCGACATCTCTGACTCCGATCTTCTTTCCGTCACAGATTGGTCTCGTGCGGAACCCAGCGCCAATTTCATTGATGCCGATAAATACAAGATACGATGCTAGTATCGCTGTCAATGACGGCCACATCGCAAAAGGGACGCGTCATGGAATTCTCGGTACTCTGGCGGGCGCGTCTGACGAGCGACCCCATGCCGAATCTGTTCCACTGAAGGATGGTATTTTTCGCCAGCTCACTCCAAACACTGGTGAAGGGTCCTCCGATCCATCATTCTTCCAAGTTAGCGCCAGAAGTTGCTTTCAGCGTTCCGCCAGTGGCGTCTGTGACGATTAACAGTGCCATTGAGGGTTAACCTCGGAATAGTGAGTCATAATGGATTGGCTGGGCGCTTCATCGGCATGAGGTCGTCATCCTTTCGTGTATACTTATACCACGAGGCATTGCCCCTGCCCTTCCTAGGGCAATTAGAACATGCACACGTTATTTTGCTTGGCCTTGATCCCTACCCTTTGTTTCCCAACCTCTGTCAGGTTCCGCCCATGTTCAAAAACTCCTTTATCTCGAGCCGTTTATCCTCTCAGCTGATGTAATCTGGCGTAGTCTGCCCTTCGACAGTCTCAATATCATCAACAATCCGTGAAGAACGACTAGTTGATGAACTCCCAATGCTTCCATAGACATGGATGAGTTGCCCAGTGTGCTTCCATCAACCCCTACTGCACGGAAGCTGTATCGACCCTCAGTCAATAGGCTTCTAATTCCAAAGTCGAAGGTTTTAATAGACTATGAGAGCCACCAATGTCAAGGTTTATGTCCATTTACTACATGCCAAATCGTACCCCCTTGCTGTGAGGACTATTTGATCGTTGCACGATTTCATTGTCATGTTAACTCATTGAGCACAGCAATACTGTAGACACCGTTTCTGTTTGTGGCGACTACAATAACATTTGTTGCACATCTTTACAACGTAAGGTTGGCGCTTAACCAGTGTTCTTCACAGTGAAAGCACTCCAAGTAAAGAAGACATCGCAGAGGAATTGGAGGAGAATCATTGGTTTTCAAAACCGTTATCAAATGAGCCCCAGCATTGACGCCGACGAGGATCTGCTTCAGGATGATGAACTGATTAAGCGTCGCTCTATCCGTAGGGTCGTGAGCACAGCTCATTTATCAGAAACGTATTGTTTATGTGAATCGATGTGATACACGGAAGGGTATGTCTTCGGCCCGACACAGCTTCAACAGCTTTCATCTGTACCATCACCATGTGCACACTCTCGTTTTTTTCCTCTCCTCACTCCAGATTTCATCCATGTTCAGCACATCCTCCATCTCCCGTCACCATATCACATTCGAGGCCGCCGGACTCGTCGCCCTCGCCGATCTCTCCATCGCCGCAGTGAGGACGGCGCTAACAGGAACAGTCTCCCCCCTCGATGTCCTCCTCCTCGCACCCGGCATGCACCAACAGCAATCTGCAGAAGAAGTCAATCGCGGCGAATTTCCAACGATTGGGGCGATAACCACCGGGTACGTCTTCCGCGTCGAGAACCCCGCCACTGTCAGCTACCTGCAGCGCATCGGTCGCACGGGCCACCTCGTCACCGCCAGGGTATCCAACCCTTCCCGCGACGCTAAACTGTCCCCACACAACCGGCTCGTCCAATCCTTCTTCGTCGCTGGAGTCCCCGCGACGTTGCTATACCTCCTCGGCCCGATCCTGGCCGTCGTCGTACTCGCATTGCTTGCCGCTATAAGGGACTGGTGGGGATTCTGGATGCTTGGGATGCTGATAGTGGCCCGCGCGATCAACGTGATCATCATCAGGCGGAGGAGCAAAGACTCGAAAGAGTGGAAGGGTGCACCGGAGGAGGGCGAGGGCGATCTGCTCATTCTCCTGAGCCAGGATCGCTGGGTGCGCTTGCGAGGGTCGTTGCATGATATCAAGACTGTGACGGCGGGTGAATGGTTGCGAGATCAGAGCACCCTAGAGAGTTTCTTTGTGGCTCTCGCGACGTTGTTGGTGTATATGGCTGCGGCACTGGCTGGGAACGCGTCGACGATGGGGAGCTTGCTTTTTGATTGCTTGCTTCTGTGCTCTGCCGCGCTCTTGGGTCTGTAATTCCTGGACAAAGTGTTTGCAGATGTACGACTGTGTTGTGCAAAGGAAGGGATGTCTAAAAGGTATGATCGAAGGTTGGACATGGTCGAAGATTTGATTCTGGTGAGCGGGAAGAACGAGTGGGCGTTTGAGATGGGGCTGAAGAGGCATGTTAAGTCAGAGGCTTCTGTTGGGTTTGACTCGGAGTCCGGTTTCTCGAGTCCTAGGCTTAGTGTCGATGATCGGAAATGTTAGCCCTGTGAACAAGGACATTTTGTAGCATCTATTGTTTCGACGAAGAATCCTGATTCCATCAAAGACCGAATGTCCTTCATATAACAGCTAATAAATCCAGCATCAGCCTGCGTCTCCTTCTCTACGACCACCGTCCCCGGGCGTGAAGGACACAATCTCGACGATGATAAATACTAGCATGCCTCTCTACTGCGTCTCACCTCGCTGTGACGCTGGCCTCATTCTTACCAAGGCCGAGGATATTGACCACACCGCCGCTTTCCAGGACCAAAGGCGATGTAGAGAATCTTTTCCTCCGTTCCATCTGGCTGATAAGTATCCACATATATATGCAGTCGAATCGCTAGATTTTTGGAGAAATAATTGATTGTCTACGCCAAGCAATGTTCTGGGAGGTGACATTCTCAAAGGCGGGAAGGGTATGGTATGTTCCGGGTTGCGGTTTCTGTCATCCCTGGCTTGTCCATCGAAGTCAGTATACCGTCGACATTGCTGACTCTGATCTTCTTCTTTTTGTCACATGCTGGTCTTGACTGTTCATCGACATCGTGAGGAACCCGTGGGACAGAGACAGCCGCTACGTCGGGGACGTCAGTTTGATATGCACATGATACGATGCTGATCTCGCTGTGAATGTCCACCTCATCAAAAAGGGGTGCATGAGGGCTCTTGCGCGCGCTTGATAAACGGCCCTCATGACAAATCTAAGGGTTGCATTTTAGGCGCCGGCACAGTCCAAAGACGGGTGATTAATGGGGGATCTTCACGCCCATCGTTCTTCGAACTTCGCACCAGCGGTCATTTTAAGCCTTCCGCCAGTGGCATCTGTGACAACGACAAGCTGTATTAAGGGTTAGCTGTGGGGACAGTGAACCGTAAGGAACTGGTTGGGCGCTCCGTCAGCCACGAGGTCACCAATCTTCCACTTCACCTACGTATACAAGCCTCGAAGCCGTGCCCATTAAAGGACTGAATTGTGCCTCACTGTTCTTGAGCTCCCGCCCTCGACGATATTTCTACAAGTAAGCGTCTGTCCCCCCGTTTAGCCGTTCAATGTCATGTCCGTTTCTACAGAGATGGCTGTCATTTACGTCGCCAATGTCTCCAATGCTGGGGAAGACAAAGGTAATCACCTCAGCCTCCCTGTGCTTACATCCATCATATTAAGCACCAGTGCGTTCAAGTAACCTCTCTCCCTTCGGATTGCTGTTTACGCTACCTACAGTATTCTTCCTTATCGTGCTTCTAAAGATCATCCAACTGTGGTGTCACCGTAGGATCTCCCGACCTCGTTCACCAAATTCCGAGGCGACGACAGACTTTGCTGAACGCTGGTCCATCTCAATTCCAGCTCCCGCACATGTTCTGCGACGGACGCTTTCCTCTGGGAGCGCTCCCGCGGATAACGATCCATGAAACTTTGATGAGGGCGACTGCTGATCTCACTGTATACCTGTCACACTTCTGTCTGCACCGACACGATACATCATCCTTCATGGACCTCTCGCATATTATATACCGCTATCGAATGCTTTCGTCGTTGTTGCCTTGGAAATTATTATCCTTTATCAGCATTCCGTGTACTCGTTGCACTGTCCTACCCGTAGTCTTCATGCGTAATATATCCTTCGTATGTACCATTAAACGAATGTCTGGCATGAATGCATCTTCATCGCTACGACCCAGTGACACACTCCGCTTACTGGCTCGTGAGGCCCGGAGTGCTTACTAGGATGGAGAGAAGTGATGGGAACTACCAAGTATTCGCCAAGTCGCTAGGCTAGTAAACGAGGGTTAGCTATTGATGACCTGTATATCATTTTAATTTATTTACTCTTGCTAACTTGCAGGAGGACTGACTTCGGACCCCCCATCGTGTGCCTGAATGCTTGAACCTAACCTAACGCATTAAGGTGGCAAAGATCGTGTGAAATAATGAATCGTTCCCTAGGATCGTGACGTAGAATCTAATCTCGGACGCGTTTCTGATCTTTTTTGAAAGAATTAAAAAAACACATACTGGGCACCGGTCGGTTGTGTATAGGAAGAACAATAGGATGATTAGGAAAATGTCGGGAAAATGAAGTGTAAAACCTTTTTTGATATTTTTCTCGCGATGCCATTCTGAAAGCAAGCACCCCCCTCCCTCTCAAAAGAAAGTATTTATCAGCCTTAGTGAGTGAGTAGTAGTCGGCATGCTCAGGTAGTCCGCGTGGGAAAAGAGCTCTTCTCGTTCTACGCCACTCATGCTGAGTAGAATACCAAACCATCTCGTATTGCGTGCTACCTTCTGGTATAATGAGTCCAGAGAAAAGAAATCATTCGTTCACGGCGAGTGATTCTTCGTCCAAGTGGGGAAAGTCTTGGGAAGATTTATACCCATAAATTTGCCATAAGTACCTATGTATGTACCTGTAGAGACTCTTAATAAGTAATAGTAAATGATAAAGATGAGGGTCAATATATCATCACCTTGTCAAAATACTGAGTCTTACAGTCACTCTCTCCTGACACAATTTTAAAAAAAAAAAACCATAGAAGGCTGTACATGAATCAGGGATGTTCATCAATAATGAAAGAAAGACTGTCATATATACACATCAATGCAAAGACTGTAAGTAAAACTCCTTCTTTCTATCCACTACAAATTTGAACTCCTTAAGGAGAAACATCTTCCTGTGAACACCACCATGCACATAAGGGCAATCCTGACTCAAGAAGAATGAGGATATTGCCCTTGTTACTCCCCTCCACACCTTTTCATCCTTTTATGCTTCTCCATTTAATGATGATCATATTAATTGACCTGGCCAACACAGGTATCCACAGCTTCCAAATTCCCACTAGTGCAAATGTGGTGACAGTCAATACTGGGCACAGGAGGTAGACCAGAGTTGTGGAAATCCCAGTGACTATGAAGGACTGGATTCAGCAATTGTTTCTGCATAGCTTGTCATTGAAGGAGGAGTTTGGGTATGCCTGGGCAGTAATGACATCTCCAATGCACCCAATGGTTTGTAGGTGGTAGTGACATTCTCTACATGAAAGACATATCTGGTAGTCATCATACCCATTGTCAGTGAAATGCCATGGTTAACCTTGTTGGATTGGTGTTGATGCATTTCTAGTAGGACAAGAGCATCAAGGCAGGAGGTTATGCCCATCAGAGCTATCTTCATTGTGACAGTAGAAAGACCAGTGAGGCTGATGAATCCTGCAGCTGAGAGGATAAATGGCTTGAGATAAAGGAGTTTCTGAACATGGGCAGAACCTGATGGAGGTTGAGAAACAAGAGGTAGAGAACATGCCATCAGAGTGCTGAGAATTCCATGATGCATCTCTTTTGCAACAGCAAGGCTAGCATCATATCTTGTACATGTCAGCATCAATGAAACTGGCACTGGGTTTTGCATGAGACCAACCTGTGATGGAAGGAAGATTGGAGTCTGAGATGTCAGCAGCTGTGAAGCACTGAACTTGGATGAATGAGCCAGAGATGACAGAAACAATAACCCAGAACATACTCTTCTCACCTTTGAGTATTCCAATGCTTATTGCAATAATGTCATAGCTTCTGTCAATTTCTAAAAACTGGCAATTTAACTGCATGTATGCATATTCAGGAACCAGAAATGTGCTATGGATCCTTGTCAGACAGACCAAATGAAACTGAAACTGCTGAAACTGCTGTAATAGACACAAGCACAGCTTTGACTATAAAAAACCTTCCATGGCCCTGCTACTTGACATCCAACCATTCAACCATGCTCTCTCAAATCCCAATAATGCTCTTTAAAGTATCCATATCCTCACCCCACATTCTCTTCCAAGCAGTGTCACTCATCACTCTAGCTGACCTCTCCACTATTGCCATATGAACAGCAGTGATGGACACAGCATCTATCCTCAATGTGTTTCTCCTCACTCCTGGGATGCACCATCAACAGGCCATCAATGACATCAACTATGGTGAGTTCTCTATAATAGGTGCCATGACCACTGGGTATGTCTTTCATGTCAAGAACCCTGCCACCATCAGCTATCTCTAGAATATCAGCCATATAGGCCACCTTGTCACTGCCCATATCTCTCTGAGTCCATCCTGCAATGAAAGCCTGTCCCATATCAACTGCTGTCTTCAGTCCTTCTTCACCATAGGCATATCAGTGACACTTTTCTATGTCCTTGGGCTGCTCCTCATGTTGGTGGCCATAGTGCTTATGAGTGCAATTTAGGATTGGTGGGGCCTCAGAGTCTTGAGGATGTTCATGCTGTTGAGGGCAATCAATATCAGAATTGTCAAGTGATGGATGCTAAAGGAGTGGAAGGGCATAGTGGAGCCAGATGTGAATGGTGATCTGCTCATCTTCCTGAGCCAGGACTGGTAGATACATCTGTAGGGACTTGTAGATGATCTCAAGACAGTGATGGCAGGCCAGTGGTTATGAGACAAGACCATGATAGAGGGCTTCACCACCTCTTTTGCCATGCTGCTGGTCTATGTCACTGCCATCCTTGCATTCAACATGTTGACTGTGGGAAGCCTCATGATTGCTTCACTTCTCCTATGCTCTTCTGCACTTTTGAGCATCAGCAATTCTTTGATGCCATGTTTGCAAATGTTTGATTGTATTATATGGGTTGAGGAAGAACCAAAAAAATATGAGCAGAGATTGTACATGGTAAATAAGATGATTGAGGAGAGCAGGAGGAATGACTGGGCTATTGGCATGGGACTTGTTATTGCTAAAGATCCCTGCATCTCTGTTACTGTTTGAAAGTATGAGTTTGCTGTTTTCACCTAGGTTCCAGCAGAGTTTTGAAGAGGCTGAATGAAGAAGTATCTTAGAAAATGTACACTTTTGTAGTAATATATATCTGACTATTTTATTTTTGAACTACAGTATGTATCACTAAAGCCTTCCATTCACCATACATATGGATGAGTGTACTGTTTCACATATGTACTGGTGCATAGGACTTTGATGGGCCAAAATTGGTTGAGAAAAAAGAAAAAGAAGAGATCTCTCATCCAAAGCCCTCAGCCTCACACTGTGTTGAATCTAGCAACAGATCCCATCTTTACCTTGTACAGTGGATTTGACCTTGAATAGTTTCATCAAATATTATGCTTGTCAAGAGACAAAACACCCATGAAGGAACCATCAATAATTTGGTCATTGTATTGAATATATGCCTCAACCCTGCAGAGGCACCTGCTCTATGATCATTGTTTCTGATAATGCTTATTGCCAGTTATATAAAAGGATAATTCATTCTTTTGATGACTATATAGAATCAAAATCAAAATTCCTCATTGAGAAAATACAAGCCACAGAAACAGTTCTTGTTCACAGGGCCAACACTCCTGGACCTCTGAGTCAAATCCAACAGAACCTTTATCTATCCAACCACCCAAGAGGTGAAGAAAAGCATGTGTTTTGCCTTGGTCTTAAGCTCACACAGAGATATGTGAGTTAACCAGATATAATAACCTCCTCAAGCCTTGGCTCATGACAATTTTTGATGTATCTTGTCTAGCATCATGGACAAGAAGTCATACTTTGAGTATGATGAACTCAAAGCATGGTTACTAGAAGGGATGGTGCCACTAACTGCTAAATGTGCCCACATCTTCTCTGAGTCTATAGATGTCTGTATTGAGTCCCAATCAAGATATTTTCATCTTGTTCCATTATTTCATCAAACTTATTCTGTTGCTGCAAATGAATAGACTATCATTGAGCAGCATTTTAGATCCCTGAACATCCTTCAGGAGCCTCAAGGCAAAAAAATATCCATCAGTTGGAAAACTTCTTGATCCTTGAGTACAATATTCATCTTCATTTTAATAATCTCACTTTATGGCTGGAGTCTATAGTCTGTTTCTTCTGCCTCTCCCAATTTTCTGGCTAACTATTTCTCAGGATGCAGAAAATCACTATAAAGTCAGCACAATGAGAGAATATTATGTTTTTGAGCTTGTTTGAAGTGCTGCCTTGAGTTATTGATTTCATATCTACTTAAAAATCACTTTTTGAAAAGGGCATGCCACATGCTGCTATCTGTCTGACACTGCAGAGTATCTTAATCTCATAGAGGATGATGATTCTTTCAAGGCCAATGTATGGAGCTACAATCCTGCAGATTCAGATTTTGGAGATACTTTAGTAGTGCAGTTATATGAAGTGGATGAGATTCATTTGGCACTTGGCAGTGACTCTTAGTGTCTGAAGATTTTATACTTTATTTTCCAACATTTTTTAATTATACTATTGTTCTTTCTATATGCAACTGAGGGCCAATATGTTTTTAATTTCGAAAAAAGATCTGAAAATATTGTGACTTTCTCTACATGGTCTTTCAACAGCAAAGAGGATTTCCTAAAGTCAAGATAAAAAATAATGCTCTTTTGTTATGAAAAACTGATTATATTTCCAAATAATGAAAGGCTCTTGATTGTTGACATGTTCCCAGCCAGTGCTGCAGCTGCATACATCAGCAGCATAGTGAGCACCACAAAGAAACTCTCTAGGGTGCTCTGATCTCACAACCATTTATCTGCCATCATGGTCTTGATATTATGCAATGACCTTCACAAGTGAACTCAGTGATCCTGGCTCAGAAGAATGAGCAGATTCCCTTTCCCTTTCTCTGATGCACCCTTCCACTTTATCAAATCCTTGCTCCTCCATCTGATGATGATCATGTTGATCACATAGGCCACTATCAGCATTCTAAGCATTCAGAGTTCTTACCAGTCTTGTATGGCACTGAGTAATATGAGCATGACAATAGTCAGGATCAGACTGAGGAGGTATAGTAGCATCTCTGAGACTTCAGTAATAAAGAAGGATTAGAGAAGATAGTCATACCAGGATAAAAAAATGTCACAGAATGGGTTCATGGATACCCTGGTGGTGCTGAGGTGTCCGGTGTGACTGATACACTGCAGATAGCTGACAGTGGCAGGGTTCTTGATGTGAAAGACATATCTGTTGGTCATTGCATCAGTTGTTGGAAATTTGCCACAGTTGACTTTTTTACAGATTGTTGTTGTTATAATTTTCTTGCTTATTTTATCTTATCTTATCAGAGCATCTATCTCATTTAGGTGCTTATCAATTGTGGGACATCACTATGACTACATTAGATAACTCACACTATTATTCTGTGATGTGCAATGAATGTCTTGTTAATAGACAATACTCCATTGTCTCATCCTTGATGATCAGACACAATGATACTATAGCATGATGACATATAATAAGTAGATACTATATTTATCAGAAATAGAAACATATATAAGTAGCATAGCTCTCACTGTAGAACTCCAGCTTTGAGCTAAAGTTTATTTTATACCACTTTTCTCTTAAGTCTAACTTGCACTGGCCTTAATAACACACTACTTGAATACACAACAAGTGGACTCTAATATGATTGTGCAAATATGATACAGTGTTAGTTTATCATGTGTTCAGAGTCACATGTCAAGTGGGTCTAACAATTAGCTTGAAGCTTAACCTTTCTCTTCTTTATACTATTAACTAGTGAAGAAAACTGAATGCTGACAATCTCTGATATTACCACTGACTTTTTCAAGCTCTTGAGCATCATCATTGGAACCCTGCTCAGGCTTTTTGTTATTATTTACATCTGCCAAGAAAATCAGTCCATTATCACCTAGGTAGTTAGATACCATATCACTCTCTGAACTGTATACCAAATCAGATGAAATATCTCACTCATCCTCTCCTTCTATGATCTTTCAGCTGACTCTTTCTGAAACTGGAGAGTTCAGAGTTATAGAGGCTCTGGGTCTTAGAAGTGGAGTCATATGTAGAGTTTTAAGCAGAAGCCAGTTCAGTAGCACTACTAATGGAGTTTTGAGCATGGTCTCTAATTCCATGCTCAGAGAAGACAGTGGAAGAGTTGAAAGAAGATGGAGTGCATCAGAATTTTTCTGAAAGGTTGTCAGTAAGACCAGCTGGAACAGGAGGAAAGTGTGTCAGGATTGTATTGAAATAGTGTCTACACTGCTCTTCAGAGATGCAGCTTTGTCAGGATGGTCTAGGCAGGTATCAGAGGCTGCTGATCTGGCTGGCTTCTTTCTTTTTTACTTTTTAAAGAGGTTTCTGAGGTGAAAGTCTGAGAATAGTTTTGAGTATGGTGTTAGGCTCAAACTGCATGTGACTTAAACATGTGATAAACAGACACTGTATTGTGTTCATACAGTCATGTCTGAGTCTACTATTGTGCTTTATAGATAAAGTGCTACAAGGCCAAAGACAAGTTGGCTTGAGAGTGAATAGTATAGAATAAACTTTAGCTCAAAGCTGGGTATATACAGTTGACTATCTCATAATGCATAATATTGAAATGCATAAATCTGACTTTGCATACAGATTGGGCTAGAACACAGTCAGAGAGCAGGGAAATACACTAGAAATGCATATTGCATAATGCATATGGTTCTAGTTAGGAATATGCATTATCAGATCCAAAATTATAGTAAGCTGATATGACATTGTGCATATGTTAGAACAATAAACATAATTTGTTTGTATAGACTATGACAAACATAAAAAAAATTATTGTAAAGCAGCAAGCCTATATCTCTATAAACATGCCTCTCAAATCTATATGAGCACACAAAACAGAAGAAGAAAGTCCCAATATACACATCATCAGCTCAGCCTTTAAAGCAGACCTTCCACCCATATCTCACAACAGGAGACTGACTTATAGTATTCAAACATGTTGATGACTGTCTTTTCCATTGACATGCTGATATTGTGGCATATTTTGCAAACTGAAAGGAAGGTGCACTGCTCTTTATACAACCAACCCTTTCACAGAAACTAGCATCTTATACAAAAATTGAACAGCATGCAAACAAGAACTCTAATGCACTGTCATTCAAAAAGTCTCACATTGTCACCTAACCTGATATGGAGCATGCCATTGCATTCTGGTGTTAGAATATGCAGCACCAAGCTGAGGCTATAATCAATTGAGAGGGTGGTGAAAGTCACTTCTCTCATGAAAGGCTCATGCAGTTGCTGACAGGCATATAGGCTTGGTCAGTTGGAAAAACCTCTAGCTACAATACATGTACTGGCTTATATATATATGATGAGAATAACAAATACAGACTAAACTGGAGAGATGGAGGAAACAGGAAAAAACATCAGGTAAAAGTATTAGGCCATGGAATGACTCATAATATATGCTCTCCTGGCCAATGAAGTTGGACAATATGGTAGCATGGTATGTATCTCTTTTTTTTCAACAAAACATAAGGTAAGCAAAGAAAATCATTGATGGAATAAAGTAAACATCATAAGACTAATTTTCTCCATTCTGCATAGTAGCATCTCTTTTCTTGCCATTCATCTTGACATCAACATCACCCTCTGCATTGTCTTCTCCATCACTGATGTTAGATATGCCCTGGATAAACTCTAATAGATGGTCAGAGCCTGAGTCTGAGTCTGAGTCTGAGAGGAAATCCAGCAACTTGTCATGGTCCTTCCAGAGGATTCCTGCCTATTTGTCTTTTCATCTCTGAATGGCCCTCTCCTTGGCCCTTTCCTGTCTGAGAAAGAGGGTATGACTGAGGTACCAATTATCATTATACTCATGTTCTGGAATAATGACATATCTGAGGATTTGGATAGTTCTGGGATTGAAGAGGATAGGCATGTCAACCTTGAGATTGTGAGTGGTGGGGGTGGGATTGTCAAAGTGAGTGAGATGGTATTCACCTGAAGAGTTG